TAATGGACCTTTTATGGATTAATCGCCCCCCCCCCCTCTCCGCCCCTTCCAGTATCTTATGTAAATCGTATTCTTGATGCCTTTGAATGATTTTAGTCAGAACGTTCTTCTGAATCCGTTTATGATACGAGTGACCGCGGGAGCAGTGGATTTAAGCGCGGTTTTCGAGACCGGACGTACGTCACGTATTATCTCTAAGTACCTCGTTCATGCAAACTTCGTCCCTAACAACCCAGCTTATGACATTGCCCTCCTCGAGATTTATCCACGAGTGCGCTGGTCACCCAAGATTCGGCCATTGTGTCTACCGGAAACGCCGGTTCAGACCATGCAGCACTGCTACATGTACGGCTACGGATCGACAATGAGTAAGTGATGCATCGAGGTGACTCACTAATGATTAAATTTCATTGTAGGAATTGACTCCAGACCATCATCCACGTTAAAATATGCAACTCTTGCCATCCTCAACCAGAGTGTCTGCCTTCGGCACTTTCAGTACAACAGCCGTCGCCTTATTTGCACGTCTAGCATCGATGCACATCGAACACCAACCAACGTGAGTCATTTCGTGTATCGTATCAAGGCATGCTTTCCGCAATAATATGCACTAAACATATGTGTTATGATAATCTTCCCTAAAATACAGATTTAGGGGGACTTCGGAGGGCCAGTGTTGTGCGCTGAATCTGATGGCGGCTATTTTTGGTATGCACCACGTGGCATAATCACCGAGCAGATCAACACCCGTGGTTGTCTGCACATTCATACTGATGTGACCGCATTTAAAAATTGGATATCAGTAGCAGCTGGCCAACTGAACTCGCTTCCACCAAACAGTCGAAGCAAGCTGGGTTTAAACCCGTACAGCTTGCAGGTATTGACTTGATTGTGCTTGTCTACCAAAACGAAATTTGGCATGTCGTGAAATGTTGTATTTTATTGTGTCCACACTACATTTCTTTGATATTGTGTTAATAGTATCCTCACATTTTATAAAATCCACATAAAACAAGGATAATTAATACACAGCAAAAGTCAAACAATCGCATGGTTGTCTAATATCTGTTTCATCTCGTGTATCATGAGGCCTTCTTCAAAGTAAGCGCCCGCTGTAGCTTATGGCTGGAAGTTATGCCGCTATATTTAAAGATTCCGGTGAGATAATTTGAGGTCGTCAGGGGGGAGGGCAATGCGCATCCAGTCCGTGAAAAATCGTATGAATTTTTATAGTTTACCTTGTCGTAAAACTGGAAGATTAATGCATCCTAGGCATGTATGTTTCTTTGATGAAGCTGGTGCGTTCTTACCATCACAAATGGGTTCTATGCTTACACTGTTGCATACAGGACAATCCCGATGGTCGTTTCACATTTGTCCTTTACACTGCAGGGGACATGGTAGTGTTTTCTGTCAGTATACTACGTTACCCCCTTTTTTTCTGAGTCCGCGTAAACACTATGCCGTACTGGATTAGTTTGGTCACCTTAAACCATATAATGAGCAATAAGAGCCACAATTGTGCCTTCTAGCGCCAAGCTTAGAGACCGCTTAGAAAACAAGCAAAACGTCTGAAATTTTACCAACATCCATCTCGACAAAGAAGCTTTACGAGAAGCAGACAAAAACACCCGTTGTTGTCATTCATCTGATTAATTATATACCGCTTGGTGGTTTTAGTAATAAAGCATGCTTTGTGCTGTTTCTGAGTGTGATAAAGAAAGAACAAAAGAAATTCTGTCTCATTTTCATCCAATTATGCTATACACCGGTATAGGGTAAAAAGGCATTATTTATATTTTCATAATAACCACTTCTCCTGTACACTGCAATTTTCTATCTGACTTTGATTTGAGTTTAATGCGCATCGTATCTTGATGATATCTCAGTGAAAGTACAGCATGTTGAAAATTATTTGCTCATTCGACCGTAAGACCTGACATCTCACAATGTGAGAAAATGGATTATGAGGCTTAATTTAATATTAAGTCATCTTTGAATCCCAATAATTCAATTTTAAATTAAGTTCTTAGACCAATGAAAATGTCAACTCATGAAAGAGTACCTATTAAGGTGAATATCCAAATTTCCGCACAATCACACATCGTGTTTAGCAATAAAGTGCTAGACTCATATTTCGTCAATGATTATCAAGAGAATTTTGCTTTAGTTCGGTCCTAATGACTGATTATAACCTTTGTTGTATCATGTTTCCCCATTAAATAAAGTCTAATATGTTTTCTGCGGCTGGGAAGGGGTTGAAAGATAGCGCTGAACGTTAAACGGATGCTGGAAGTTATTACTAGAGCCGTAGGTGATCTATTGTTGACCCACGCCGTCGAATTCGAAGGAGCTAAATCGGTTTCTTTTAATATCGCAACGGTAAACGATGACCGACTCTAAGGAGGCAACGGGATGCGCCCCCCTCTACACATCACCCTCGATATGTAAGGAACGAAGACACAATCGCTCACTTTTCACGAAGAACGGGAATTATGGTTCGAACAAAGGAAGGAGCGGTTACCCTCAGCACGAAGCACGACAAAGACATAACTTCAACAGAGGTGCAGC